GGGTAGGTACAGATAGGAGATACTGGCCTAAGGGGACATACAAAAATTACATAAGCACCTCGCTTTTGAGAAAACGTGAAAAAATCCTTTTAAATTATTACGAAATTATTGCATGGCCCCTAAGGACGCTAAGAAGCTAAGGACCACAAAATGTGGTATGTTTTATAATAACAGTTACGTGGAGTACCAATGGTACGCAATGTTCATCCGTTTAAATGCCAGTGACTTTGGCATATTCACATTCATCTAACCTTTTTTTCTAATTTAATGTTGAAAATGTCAACACTATTAAACTACTACAAGCATCAGTAAGATCCAGATCTATTTGTAGAGCTCTGTACGTTGACTTAGACGGTACCTGTAGTGTTACATCATTTTCGTCCTCTAAATAACCATATTATGCAAATCTAATCTGAGAATGCTTTTAGACACAAAGATAATCAAGCTAGTTGTCGGAATATAATAATCTTAAACTAGTATACATGTGTCATGTTAAACAATTTATTTTGTAAAGATTCCTGAATGTTGTTCTTTTCAGAATTAAATAATGACAGTCCATATCGGTAGGATGAATTGATGCGACAATTAATTCTCGAGTTTATTGCTATGAATGAAGCATTCAACGATTTGAATGAGCTGCATTTAAATTAAATGAAATTATATATCATTTATCGTTTATTCGAGTGGGCTATACCGGTGTTAAATTCAATTATGATGTATAAATCGATATGGTTAAAACAGATTTATATTAAATGCATCACTCGTCCGTCACCTGGAAACACGAAGTGCTAGATTGGAAGAGCAATGTCTGTTGGAACCACTACCAGTCTCTTGAAAATCCGCACGACAACACTACCTCGGAACGAGGAGTGGTTTCAAGCTCGATTTGGTTTGAATTTCAGTCCCATGGTGGTGGGTAAGTACTAGCTGCCCATGAGTGACAACACCCTTGGCTCTTATGAAACCATCACTAGACGGGACACGGCACAGCAACTGCAGCTTTCTTGTTTTGCATGCCAAATACACAGCAATGTGGTTTCCCCGGAATTATACCCACCTAACACTACTGTTCCTTCGTTCAATCGAACCGGTAGGAGCAGACGACTGACAATGCAGAGCGAGCACGACGAATACTACGGGGGATGAAGTCCCAAACCAATCAATTGAGCATTGGAAGCCACAGCTGGATATCTTCACACTCTAATGATTTGTAAATTCAATTATATTGAACTTTATGACTTGGGGAATGATGGTCGTCCTGTCGATTTTGCCAGCATTTTGAATCGATCAAGTGAACGTGCGGTCAGGGTTCATGTTTCAGTAACTCGGTTAAAAGCAATAGCTTTCGGTTTCATAAATAGTGTAACTGACTACGGTTTTACGAAGACAAGGTTAATTAGGTAAACTCTATATCGTGTATCGATAAAATTCAACCAATGAACATAGTAAATTGTATTTTCATCCACTTATTACCATCTGTCTCAGTTCGAAGAGTGTTACTGTCATATTAAAATCATTAGCATTAATGACATGGCAATTAGAATTGCTCTTGTCAAGTGCCCACCTTTTTGTCGACTTCTTACCGTAGAACAACGTAATAAAGCTTTGACAAGTTTGCAGGGGATTTGTCGTCAATTTACATGTAATCCGCGCTAGACTTGAGACCTACGGGTATGGTAAAATAATACCATTCGATCGATTTGTTGTTCGATGCATAATAGCCCACAAAGTAAGTAATCTTACCTCGAGGAAGACAAGTGTTGATATTTCCTTTTCGATTCTGATGGCGGAGGTGTAGCTAGTGTTGACAATGTTTACAAATCTTTGAATGCGATAAAAGACTGAAATGGGTAGCTCCAGAGGTTGAGTGTGGGTGCAAGTTAGAGTAATGTGGCTGAATATCTTCTGTAGGAATTCTATTGACCCTTATATGTCATTGCTTTTCAATAGCTAGTATAACTAGTTTTGACCAGAGTGACGAAAATACGCTTTAAAAAGATTTGAAATCAATTGGTGATTAAATGTTTTGTAGAAGTACAGTCACCCCAGTATTATGGGCCACCCACAATTATGAGACACTTTAATTTGATTAACAAGCAGAACTGACTGACCCATAATAGTGATTAGCTGCCCATAATGACTGTATTTGTATATACATTTATTTAATTACAGTCGTTATTTGAGGGAAGATACGAAATAATTCATCCTGAAAAATTCCCAGACCGGAGCATTGGATCACTGATATTCAAATATATTGTTCTCTTCCCAGCATGTGTTTAAGACACAAGTTTACTTTTAAAATTATGCAATTCAAGTCTTCCTTATTGAATAAAATTGTGCGGCAAACAGGAATTGGGGTAAAAAATTCAACCATGTTTAAATATATAATGGCCATTTGAGGCTAATTCCGGAATATACTGCTCTAACATGTCACGAAATAGACATGTCACATCATAGACAAATTGATATAATACTGTGAATATTATTGACTGTAAAACATCGAACAAAGAGCACTATTATCATCTGTTGACTACATTTTGGAGTGCACTGTGCTTAAAAATGTTGACAAACGGTTAACTGCATGCTGCCGGTGGAAATACTACCAATCACAAAAAAATAATATTGGAGACAATAAGAAGATATTGAGAAGCGAAACACACATGATCGAAAGGAGTTTATGAGATCCTATACATACATAGACATGTCTTGTCGATCAAAAGCTTTAAAAACATTTAACAGTATGCGTTAAAAATGAGTCTTTGACTTAGAAGAGCGGGCGAAAAAAAAAATTAATAAATCTATTGTTTCTCATAATTTTTGGAATTCTTTACTTTAAAATACTGCATCTCGACAAAAACGCTAATTATTTTAGCTTAAAAATGTTTCTTATGCAAAAAAAATGTTTCTTATGCAAAAAAAATACGGGAAATAGGATATACTTATTCTGATAAATTTGCATTTTTAGTTTGAAAAATATATTTGGCAACACTGTACGAAAATAATAAATTTATATTTAGATTTTTGTCTTATTTTCTCATAAAACACTCCATAATATTAATTGTAGCTTCATTTGTTCCGAAGATATTGATAAAGGAAACTAGTGCTTACTTGAATATCACGAAAAAATGAAAATGCTGGATCGAGGGTTGTTTCGGTCGACACACAATTTGGATTCGGCAGCAGGGTTGCTTCCACTCACTTGCTATAAAAAAATATATTTCGAAATTATGCAATCATTAGATGACAAGGTTACTGATTATTGCACTGAAGCGATGGTCGGGCTATTTTCCCATCGCGGTAGAAGAACAGCAACAATGCGTTCGGAGTTCATTCTTCGTGTGCGATCGCTTATGTTGACGAAGCAATTTGTGTTATTTTGTTTCTACCACCTTCCCTTCATTCGCTGAGTGACCACATGCACCCATTGAGCATGGGTCACTCACTCTCAAATTTCCAGCAACACGATCACAGCAATCGTTCTTCGCGAGCGATGCCACTCGTAGAAGAATACACCGGATTGATCATCTTCATGAAGAGCATCATTGCTATTATCGTTCATGAACGAAGCTTTATGTGGTTGCTTGTGTCGTTTCTTTAGCTTGCGCTGCGCGCGCTAACGAAATCAATTAACTGATTAGGGTCTGTCCATAAAGTACGTAGACATGTTGAGGGGGGTTGGGAATTATCCATGGCCCATACAAATTTAAAAAAAATGTATGGACAATTGTCTACGCAGGGGGAAGGGGGTCAATAATCCCAATAAAACTGTCTACGTAGTTAATGAACAGCCCTATACTGGCGTTGAAGAGTGTCTTGATTTTGATAGTGGGTTTACGTGAACTAGTGCAAAGGGGAACTATTTTTTGTTAATGAGAAACACCGTTAGGCCGATTACATAGTAAGAGCGAAGAGAAGCGAAGAGGCGAGCAAAGCGTCGAAACGAATATAAGGAATAATATCAATAATGGGAATTTCCATACGTTTGTACGCTTTGCTCGCCCCTTCACTACTCTTCGCTATCATTATGCTATCGGCCTTAAGTGACCCCTACACGATCGCTTTTATTGACAATAATCGTATTGTCAATACATTCAATATTGACGTCAAAACATCGATATTGACAATATTTCTGTATTCACATCATCAATAGTATTGTCAATAATTCCCCTTCGCGTCTATATATTGAAACGTGTGGGATAAGCTTAAGAGTAAAAATAGCATCCCGACGGAGAGACGTCGTCAGCGTCAATACGCTTCGTGCGATATCATTAGGGCATATTCAAATATTGCACATGCTGCTGAGAACTTCATTTATTCGGAAAATTGACATAATAAACAATTCTAAGTCACCCATTTAAACATGTTTATTGCATTACAAAGAAGAGGACAAAGAAATCCTAATTTTTACCAAGCTGTTTTATGGTTTCTTCAAAAGCGTATTCTAAATAACGCAACATTTTATTAAATACACTTAAATTATAAACAATTCAGGGGCGAATAACTTACGTTTTCGTACTTCGATTCGATGAAACTTTCAGCACTCCCACGTAAACTAGTTACACAGAAAGGGAATGTTTCCACTTCAATGTCATCTTGTTAATTTGCGTAGGATTGCTGAGAATTTCGTGAAATCGACGATTGAAGATTTGTTTTTAAAAGCACTTACATCGGATTGAAAAATCGCTCAAGAATTATGGTTTTTTTTTTGTCTTTCTTCTGTCTTCAACATGCGATAAGTTGTTGCTTCTGAAAGGCATCGTTTCATTTTGAAAACGCTTACAAAAACGACGTTGAAGTGGAGGGTTTAATGCTGCATTTAAAGAAGTCAGGGATATATGCTGAGGATAAAAATTTCTTTGTATGTGTAGTGCAATAACTTTCAAATACTGCTATTTGCTTAGTTTTATTTTTTTTTATTTATAAGAATATCAAATTAACGAAAGAGAAAAAGCAACCATAAAAAACAATCTTTGATATCAATCCACCCTTAACTATTTCACCTCTGGTTCCAGAACATCTATAACCTTAGGCCACAGGGATTCGTTAGACTTCAGGAACATTATGTTTTTAATGGATTTGCAGTTGAGGCGTGTTCTGGTGTCAGTAATAACCAGTTTTAGCTGGCTAAACAGCCTCTCTACCGTAACCTGGGTAGAAGGTATGGATAGTAGTGCAATGGCGATACGATACATCCGTGGATTCATGATTTTTCGCTGCTTCCAATAACGAATTATGTCAAACTGTTCGCGAACTTTCACACCGCCGCTAGACAACGGAATTGTTTCTGACGATGATGTTATAGGTACTTTTGGGCGCGATTCCAGTTTGAGGATTTCCGACAGAAATGAATCGCTTGATGTAGTTCCAGATGACGAGTTGGGGGGGTCTTCTTGAAAAAAACTGCACAAATACTTCTCGACGAAGTCATCAGACGCAGACGATGATGGATCTTTAGTAGCGCCGCAATCTTGAATTTGGAGCCCTGCTAGATCATCCAACCGGGCGTTCAGGGCCAAAATGTACCTCTAAGAAAATAATAATAATAATAATAATAATACATGTGTAATGAACTAATGGAGCCATCCAAACAAACCTGAATTTCTATTTTCTCCTCGGCGCTGAGCCTGTTTGATCCCAGGAAGTTGAATCGCGGGTCCATGTATAAACTAGCCTTAAAAGGCAAGCTGTTTCGTAAGGTCTTCATGCGCTTCTCCATTGCCGAGAGCAATTTCTTTGCAAGCGTGTTACCCCCAGTACCGATAACATTCAACTGTGCTTGGCACATGAGCCAGTCAGCACAAAATTGGGATAACGGGACGTGATCTTTTTGACACTTCATTGTCAGGATAAAAACGGCTTCAAAGGCGTCACAAAACTTGTGGATGAAGGTCCACTGTCGAGAGAAATCTAAAAAAATAATGTACACATCAAGCATCAAACAACGCAACGACGCTGATTAAAACTTATATTTTTAGCAAAAATTTCTTTAACAGGTTTTTTTTTTTATTATTGCCAAAAAAATTATATAATAATAAATTCCCACGGATAAGTTAGCGGTGGATTGGCAACTGTATATATATGCTGGAGCCGACTAGGTTCGAATCCTGGTCCGGTCTAGATTTTTCGGGTTGGAGCATGTCTCGACTTTCTTTAGCATAGTGTATCATTGTACTTGCCACGCAATATACGAATGCAAAAATGGCACCGAATGAATTAAAATACATTGATTGCATATCGTTTTGCTTTGGAATGGCTGTATATAAACAGAATTATTGTTTAGTAAGCGTGCATATTTTAATGATAGATCGGGCACTATAAGATATGAAAAAATGCCCATTGAACATAGGCTTGGAAATCACTGCTAAGTAAGTTATTTACCATTTTATGTTATTTTACAGGTCCAATTTTGATGGCTTATATCTATTATACCCTAATGGAACATACCAAATGAAAGATTGGAGTCTTATCTATCTAAGCCTCTTTGAAAGTAACCTAATTGAAGTTAGTTATGATGTATTAAATCAAAAAAGTTTGGTAAAAGTAACAATAAAACTGTTAAATTTTCGTACATTTCAGTTTTTTTTATAAAATTTATTATTATTTTCAGTATATTTCTTCTACAAAAGATTTCCCTTGAAGTTTTCTAAATTTGGTTTATGGTTTTATGGTTTCTTCGCAATTTTTGATTTAAAATATCTATCAAAACATGCGAAGTTTTGCTGAAAATGCGCTATACGCACCCTATTCTTTCCTACGTTTGGCTGTATACGCGCACGGGAACTGGCTGAAAGTGATTGTGTATACTAAGACACATTCTCAGCTTTCGATTATCGCACACGATTTGCGCTAAAAGAAAACAATATTGCGAAGATGTTTGCGGTATTGAATATTTCAGACACCGAATCATCAACCGGTTCCGGATATATGGCCGGAACAAGATCCAGGAAACACGGTAAGAAGGGTCAAATTTTGTTCTAAAGTTCCTGGATCCCTCTGGGCTACAACCCTGGATTTTTAATTGAAAGCATTTAAATGTAGATTTTTGTAGTGTACTAACTTTTAATGTTTATAATTATAATTATAGTAAACAGCACAGAAATAAATTTTCATGTAAAATTACGCTGAATCCTACACACTAATCGAGTCAATACGGTTTTACCGAGTTTTTGAATTGCGGAACTGTTCGGTAAAAGTTTAAAAATCTGTGGAAAATTTATTAATAAAAAAATTTGTTCTGAACTTGTACATACTTAGTTCTGTTAACCCCATTTAATGATAGAAAATAAAATTGGTCGATTTCATTGATTCCATACGGATAACGGTCATTTGAATTTTTACCGACTTTATCAGTAATTCAAAAACCCAGTAAAAAAATACTGACTCCTGTAAAAAAATCTTAGTGTGTATGCACAAAAAAGGAACGCGACAAATAACAGAAAATTACGTCCTGTAAATCTTCCCATAAAAATTTGAAATTTGCAAGTAAAGTTTGTCTTGCAAGTTACAACTACGTCTGAAAATTACACGAGTGTTATTTTACGTGACTATTAAAATTAATAACTTTTTTTGTGAGGCTGATTAACTGAAGGTACCCAAATTATCAAAAAATGGACTATTTTCCTATTGGGCGGGATTATTTATTTCTTAATTTTTGGGTTAAAATTTTTCCTCCATGTTTTTAATAATTAAATGAGTTTCAATTTGTTCGCGGTTACACCCTTAATTCATAACGATCAAATACCCGATTAAGTTCCTGTTTTTGCCGTTCATTCTTCGCGCAAAACGAACAGAAAATCGAGCTAATTTGTCCCCACTGTTGTACAGCATCTAGCTGAAAATATCCTTTATAAAGATAACCTATGCTTGAAATATAAAATAGATATGTATATATAATTTAAGTTTGGCGCATTTTTGCACCAAAAAGGAATAGGTTGGACATGACTCTTTTTGCAAGATATAAATTGAAGTAAGAAAAATATGAATGCTTACCAATTTCGGGGTCGCTGTTTTTCAGTATTCCTAGCATTGGCGATTTCTCCAGCTCCTTCAAATATTTCAGTAGAATGTACCATACGTTCCACCGTGTTTCACATACTTTTGGAGGCAGAGCAATCTTGTGGAATTTGAATAGCTCACGGTGTTTTCGGTGGTGCATTCGTAGGCACTTCTTATTTATATTTGCCATTCTTGTTTTGTACTGCCGAAGCACATCCCACACCGCCAATTGTGCGGTGTGCGCACCACACCTTACCGATTCCAGGATATCCAGGAGATCATCAAAAAGGCAATCATCGTCATCTTCATCATAAACATTATCATTAGTATCTCCAGCCTCTTGAGCCTCTGTGAAATCATCGGTTTCTTCCTCGGTTTTTAGGTCACATTCGGGTACATCGTCACAATGTTCCTGTTCGTCTTCATCCTTCTCCGTCTCCACTGTGTCGCTATCTAGTTCGTCGTCTGCTGCCAAAGTACCGAGGAATGCGTTTTCCTTTTCAAGCATTACCGCCAGCGAACCCGTAACAGCTGGCCCAAAACATTTCTTCAACTCTAGGACCGTGGCTAACATATTTTGGCCATTGTCTGAAGTAATCGCGAGAACTTGTTTGTAGTCGATGCCAAATGATGCCATCTCCTGCTCAATAATGTTTTTAAGATTTTCTTTTGTCTGACGCTCCGTCATTTCATGTGCCGCTTAATTCAAAGAAGGGAATAAATATGATGTCTTGTTAAATCTCTACTGGAAAAAGTTTTTTGGAATTTTATGTTTATTACTCAAAGATTAAGGAACTACTACTGAATGTGATGACCACTAGTCCGCAAATCATTAGAAATCAGCTCTTAATTACTGAATGCATTTTGATTTAGTTTTTTTTTTATAGATTTATAGATCATTCATCCTTTTTTGTGAAGAAAGTTGAAGCTACACTCCAAGCCAAAGTACAGCAGTTCCATTTCTAATTAGGATTTTTTTTTAATTTTTTGATCGACCTTCTATGATTATGTTCAAACTTTGCACAGTTGTTTGTTATTGCCCAACATGCCATTTTACATATTTGGTACACTAGTTTTGTACACGACTAACACTCGAAAAGGGCTTATGCAAAAATGATACGCATAAATTGAAAAACATATATCTCGCGAACGGTTTGTTTGATCGAGATGGTGCCTTGGTGAAGTTGTGGACAAGTATTGTGCCTTTTAAGAAAAATATACACTATAAAAATTATTTGATTTTTTACAAAAAAAAATCAAAATTATTAAACAAAATTAAAATTACTCAAATTTACAACAATTAGAAAGTAACAACAAAGTCACAACAATTGGAAGAAAATATGATTGATCAACTGTCGTTTGAACAGGGGGTAACCACTAATAGATGTGATATACAAACTATTGTAAAAGAGCCTGAAGGCTTTGTTTCATATTTTTGTGAAAAATTACTTAAATTGATACCGCACGATTTCATTAAAACAGAACAATCTAAATTCTTTAAAACAACGAAAAAAAAAATTTGCAAGTCGGTGAATTTTTAGTCATTTGTGATTTTTCTGAAAATTACTCCTTTGTACTGCAGAATGAAGCACAATCTCATCATTGGAATGTACAACAAGCTACCAGTGGCGTCGCGTAACCTCACTTATTACCTGTTCAACAACTTTGAGAACGTTATTTAGGGTCATGTTTACATTCAATTCAGTTTCAAAAGGCATGGCGTCTTCTAGTTTCACTGATTTGTATCCATTGGAACCAATATTGTTTTGTTTGTTTACGTTTTGGGAGTTGCTGAACAGGTAGATTGAGGTTAGGGCGACGCTACTGCAAGCTGCTATCCTTCTATGCGTTATATACTTTAAAGGAAACTGGCAAGTGCTTCATTTTAGTTTCATAATTATCTCAGAAGAGTTGACAAATGCTGCAGTTGTTGTTAACCTGTTTATTTCCAAAATGAATAGTTTTTTACGTACAGATCAGAGCAAAATAATGAAGAAGATTAATTTTATGCTTCACAGTACAAAACCGTAAGAATTTTTCTAGTCTCTGCAAGTTCAAGTCTAAGTATGAAATATAAGTTGAATGGCATTTCTTTGCGACGTCCCATGGCAAAATACCATGATGATATTGGAGGTACGATAAAGCGCATGGCTACACGAGCCAGTTTAACCAGAGAACGTGAACATCCAATAAAAAATGTCAAAGAATTATATAACTGGGAAAATAATCGAAAGGAGGAAGAGTTGACGAGTTTATCATTTGGTTTTGTAAAATCAGAAGAATATAAAGCTAAGGTATAATTTACTTTGATACATTTTCAAAAAATTCAATAGCAGTTTTTTTTCAACGCATTATTTCAGATTCCAAAAAGCTTGCGTCGCTCGATTCCTTTTGCTTTTTTACACAAAATGACGCGAGTTTTTTTGCAATCTGAAATAATACGTCGATAAAAACTGCTATTGAATTTTTCGAAAATGTATCAAAGTAAATTTAACCTTGAAGCAATTGTGAAGCAAGAACAATTCAAGGAACGCAAAAATTTCACTCATTTATTCCTATATCTGAAAATAACATTAAAACAAAATTGTTTTCAAAATGTTCATATCATGATGCAAAGGTTTTTAATTTGTTTAAATAGACATATTAAGTATTAATGTAATTATATAATGTGAACTAAATAAATACCTAAGAACGCCATTTTATTTAATACATTTTTATTTATGAGATGAATGCCATAATTTGCGAATGGTATTATAAATCTCGGATACTCGATTTGACGCAACTGGGGACTCACCCATGCACACTAACACCAGTATTAAGTTGGGGAAGGTTTCCCCTATCTGATCGTGGTGTTAGTATGCGTGGACGCGCTCTCAGTTACGTCAAATCGACGATCGTACGCATTGTTTACAAAAGCAGATAAGTCTTTTTTTTAAGTAGCTCGGGCGGGGTTGTTACACTATATTGAAAAATAAAGTTTATTGTCAAAGCTAGTTATGCTACAAAACGCAATACGAGCAAAAAAAACTTTAAAAAATCTGAGGTGGTCGGTCCTGGACAATTCTGGAGGGGGTCTGTCCGCTTTGCTCGTTCCTATTGTGTAGCTACAGCACTAACGGTGACCCGAAAAGGCTGTCAAACACTTCTTATGGTTATTTTCTATTCCACCGTGGTATTCGAAACTAGCTAGCCGTATTTTTTTATAGTGTATATTTTTTCTTGAAAGGCACAACTTCTTCGAACACACCATCTCGATCAAACAAATCGTTCACGAGATGTATATTTTTCTTTTGATGCGTATCATTTTTACATAAGCTCTTTTCAAGTGTTAGTCGTGAACAAAATTAGGGTACCAAATATGTAAAATGGCATGTTGGACAACAACAAACACCTGTGTAAAATAACAAGTAATTCAAAAAAACATCGATCCGAAACGATTTGCGAATCTGTGTGGAACTTTTCAGTATAGAGTGTTGTCTGGTAGCTTGCTTCAATTATAGTTTTTCATTGAAAGAGATGGGTCGAAAATATAGTCAAATTATAAGTTTTCAAAATTACAATAATTTGAGAACAATTAGAATTATGGCAAAAGATTTAAGAGAGTGCTATAAAAAAACATCTGTACGTGATTTGGAGGTGCGCGTTAGTTAATCAACATAAAAAATAAGCCGTCACTCAATTGAATTGCAATCAACAATGATAAATAATTTTAATTATTTGTTGGATGCTTTTCATGTGGCATGCACTACATTTTTACGAGAATTGCACGGTACTTTTTCAATTCCTTCGTGTAGTTGGATTATCGAGGCGTTGGATTAACTAGGCGCGGATTAACGGTGGGATAATGTGTTTTCTTTCACAATAACCATTTTGGAATCGTTTTCTTTTTCAGTTGTATACATTAATAATGATTTACTTACCAAGATGGTAAATGTGAACGTCTCCTTCATCGTCTGATACAGTCACGTTTATCGCGAAAACCGATTTGCCGTGACGCGTTGCAAAGTCCATTTTCAAGCAAATGAGCTTATTACGGAGTAACCCGATAAGTTCATTTCTCATTATATCCGCTGCCCGACTAACGAGAGGCGGCAGAGTATTCCGTGTAATTTTTAATTTCACTGCATCCCATGTTGGTTCATTTAACAATTTAATTGCCTTCCATTCCGGATAACAAAAAGGCAAATTGTTCTCAGCAATCAACATTAGTGTTCCAAGAAGAACTCTCTTCCTTTCGGTGTCCACCAAAACTTTGGCACTTTTTGCTCGCTTAGCGGGACTCGGTTGCCCATCCCCACTTGCACTAGCACTACGTTCACTTTGCGAAAGCCCCAATCGACGAGCCACATCCGGGTGGATTGTGAGGAAATGTCGTTTGAAATTTGAGGGAATAAGCGTTGCTTGTTCATACGGACACCGTTTATCGCTATCGATTTCCACCAGACACTTGTATTTTACTTTTTTATCCGCTCCCGCCACTTCTTCCACCGCGTCACTAATTTTTTTCCACAACGATTCACGGCCTTCACGACTCATCGTGTTGAATAAACTATTCCCGTTCGCGTTGAAGAATAAACTAAACGCATCTTCGTGAGGATCAAAGCATGAGCATCGCGATGATGCGAAAAACCGTTCGCATCGTCATGAAGACTAAAGCATACGAAGCACGCTCTCCACCGCTCGCGTTGTGAACGATGAAGCGAAGAAGAGCACGCTGCACGAAGATTTGAGTGGTGCATCGGCACTCACACTCCTCTCTCATCGAGCATTCTTTACGATTTGCTTTTATGTGGGCATCCACATCATTCTAGAGTTTTGCTGAAATACCGATGCTTCGAGTACCGTCGCACACGATGAACGAATATGAGAGAAAAGATTCGAATTTCAGTAACCTTGGATGATATAATGATATGTTGTACTTGTAAGTAACAAGAAGGGGGTGAAAAGTATGTGTTTGATTCATAAAACCTGTTAATTTCGTTTTCAGGGCGTCACAATCTGCGATCTTATGATTCGTGAGCGTTCACTCAGAGTGAGCGCTCACGAGCCGTCAAATCGCTGATTGTGAGGCACTAAAAGCAAAATTGACAGATGTGATGTGTCAAACACGTACTTTCCGATCTCTTCTTGTACTTACAAATACTAATTATCATTATACCATCTCATGATTTCATAATTCTGGAAAACATTTTTTTATAGCGATTGAGTAGAAGTAACCCTGTTCGGCAGCCCTACTTTTGCTCAATAAAACAGATGAAATCATCCTCAATAAGTAAAAAAAAAACTCCATTAAATAGATCGGGTTGCTCCTTAAATGATTGATCAAAATACGTTGAAAATCTTAAAATGCTCAGTAAATATTTAAAGTATGCTCCCTAAAATAGAGAAAACTGTACATTAAGCATTTGAAAATGCTCCTTAGTATGCACCGCTTTGCACCATTTTGAAGTGTAATTGTACCATATATTATCGGAAAAGCTGCTGTAGAAAGGTAAACAAGTACCATGAAATCAGCTGAAATGTTCAATAAAAATGCACAAATGCACACAATGATTTACTTAGACCAAAATAAACATCTGCTCCAAATTTGGTCCAAATTGGATGAGGTCAATTACACTTTTGTATTTTTTTGGCGCGGAATAACCCATATCTCGAAAATATGTGAAGATTTGAGAAGTTTGTAAAATT